GGTCCCCGGCCCGGCGCTGGCGGGGCCTTCCCGGAGCGATCCTCCCTGCCGAGAGCGCCTCCGGCAGGGACAGCACCGCGCGGTCGCTGCTGTGACAGGGGCTTGTCGCAGCACCCGGCGCTTCGGTTTAGAGCAGCAAAAAAAAGCCTCCGCTGGCAGCAGCCGAGCCTTTGCTGCCGGAGAGGCGTGGGCCCTCCGTGCCCTGTTTTACTGAGTTGCTCTGACTCGTCGTTGATTTTTTTTCTCGTGTTCTGTGGAGCAAAAGGTGCTTAGGTTGGTTAGTGTCCTGTTACGCAGGCTGTTACCTTGCAGCGAACAATTACCTGGTGAGAGGAAAAACCTTTGCAATAAAAATGACCCCGGTAAACAACTAGGGATGAGGTGGTGTACCGTGTCTTTATTCACAGGCTCAAATTCTAAACGTGGTTTTTAATAACTGGTTATTTCACACACATGTCTGGTTTCAGGCCTCAGCGCATCCCCAAATCCTGTTTTACTTCTGGCTGAGTAGAAGGGGGAGGAGGGAAAAAAGTAGTTCACTTTAAGCATTGTAATTTATGCAGAAAGTCTAAGTTAAAGTGTTGGAAGCTTTACAAAATATACTTTTTTTTTTTTTTTCCTTTATGGGCTTTCTCAGGATGGTTGTGGGGTTCTGCTGCAAAGTTTGATGACATCATGTAGCCAAATGTCTTCCAGAGCCATTGCTCCCAACGTCTAAACTTAGTGATTTATCTACACCGTTACAATCTAAAAAAAACAGACAATAAAACATATGTTGTATATTGTTGCGTGTCAATTAGGAAGGAAGTAAATGCTCTTCTACTTCAAAAATATTGACAGAATCATGTAGGCTTAACAGTGATCCCTTTATGAGGACAAGATGGGAAGAAATTCTTTGTTCTTTCTTTCAGTTTCTTATTGTCATCCACTTGCTTAGGGCCTCCTGAGAGGAACTGTTCCAAGCCTGTGCATTAACAGAGGGTTTGAAACTGGCGTATTTCACACCTTTATGCAAAGGGCTTTCTACTTTATCTTGCTGAGTGTCTGTTATTTCACTCACTCTCTCTGCTTTCTTTAATGCAAATATTACAGAGGGATGGATGTTCTGTGGCAGCTTCAGTTTACTTGTATGCAGGCTTCTGCTGCAGTCCCTGGAAAAGTCAATGCAGCAGTGCCATAAAAAAATTATTCAGATGTGCCAAAGACAAATGAACTCATCTTCATTTAAAAAAAAACCAAACAAAAAAACAAACCCAACAAAACCCCAGCAAAAGATATAGCTTTGAACTTTGAGAATGTTGCTCTTACTGTAAGAGATCAAATTTCAAAGCAATTCTGTTATAGACAGATATATTGCATACCTCCTATCTAGTATCTTCCATAGGTCTGTGCAGTATATATGTTTCTGCTTCTCTGTATAATTCTAGAGGATCAGAGAATAATGTCTCTGTAGAGATCAGAAATTCTTTTTTCCAGACCCTTCTGTCTCATAAAGATTTGAAGAACAACATCTAGTTTCCAACTCTTCGTGGGTCATTTTTTGGTACTGATCTTAATCAATCACGCTTTCTAAAACAGCCTCTGTGCAAACCACTGTGTTATGTTTTTGGGTTTTTTTAATGTGGTGTTGGTGTAATGTTTGTAAGTATCTGTGGTACCTTCCTGCTTGAACGATGTGAATGTTTAGATACCCTTATTTGAAATTTTCAGTGCTAATCCCCAAGTAGTGTTTTTCTGCAGAAAACAGACATGTTGATAGCTATGCTGCCTGAGGGCCCAGCTGTGCTGGATAGAAAAGTCTCTTGGTTTTGGTTTTTATTCTTTATTTTCTCATTTAGGCATTGTATTAGCTTTCAGAGAGACCTTTTGTTTGCTATGGTATTTGAATAGATGAATATAACATGTCCTGATGCTTTATAAGAATTTTGTTTAATTGATGTTCAAGATTCTGTCTCCCAGCTTAAAATCTTTGTTTAGTTTGGTGTTTAGGGCTTTTTTTATTATTATTATTATTTGTTGTTGTTGTTGTTGTCCTTTGAGGCTCCACCCCTCTCGTTTTGCTCCTTACCTTAGTTCACACCAATAAGGTGTCTGGTCTCTGTTATGGATCTCTTTTCCTTGTTCCTACAAAGAAAGGATGGAATTTGTGTACTGGTTCCCAGCTGTAAGGAAACTTGTCTGCATGATAAATGGTAGTCAAACTAGTGTAATCCCTTTGAAGCTGATTCCCTGTTTACTTGAGATCACAGAAGATATTTGATCTAAAACAAATATTCAGTGAGGAGCCCTTTAAGCTAATTGAAATGGATAGTTTCTTCTGCAGGCAATAAATTTTCTTAAGCAATGGGAGAGTTTCTGCAGTACCTGAGTTAGCATAGCTTGAGATGGTGATGCAATTAGATAAAGCTACAAACTAATGTTATGTTTGTCTCTGATTTACAACTGAGGTAAGTAAGAAATTAGCAGAAGCTTTTGCTCCACTGCATAAGGTGTGGAGCAAACAGGAATGCTGGGCAGGGGAAGGAGAGGTTCATTCCAGTTCATTCAGCTGCTTCCTAGTGACTCCACCCTTCCCATGGAAATGGTATTTGTATCAGGCAGGCATTTATCTTCTCCCTCTTCTTATGTTTGATACACTGCCAGTTTCATCTCCATGTGAAAGGAGGGATGGGCAGAAATATGATCTGTATGGGGAGTTAAACGTTGCATAGCATTTGGCTATTCCGTGTCTTGACTCTAGTCTCTGACTTCCCTTCCAAGCCATCCCTCTGTCAGGAAGCTGGCGCTGGTCAGTACCATTTTCCAAACTTTTTAAAGACAGCAGAGTAACTGAGGTGAGTTAGTCTGTCCCTGAAGCTGCCACCCTGAAGGGTCAAGTGCTAGCAACATGGAAAAAGAAGGGAAACAAACTTTTTACACTGGAGGCTGTTAGACGAATGAAGCCTGTAAACAAAATATCTCCTATTTTGCAAGTGTGCAGGAGGGCAGCAGTACTTCCTGCTTTCCTTCTCAAGAGCAAATACAGATTAATGAAAAAGAATTGAAGTCTGTGGTGAATAATGCTAACCAGTCCTAGGTATGATTATTGTGATCCTCCTGAAACTGCCGAGGAAAAAATTCTTGTACTGTATTTTACTTGCTACAGGCCAAATAAACAGATTTAACTGCTTGTCCAGAAATTACTTTTTTTGTGAATATTTTAAACTGGGAACCACATTCAAATCATTAATGTTCAGATTTTTTAATTAGTGATTTAATACCTAGATGATATTTTGGCTGCCTATAGTTGGACTGTTAGGCCCTCTCCTTCCTGTTTCTCTCTCCTCCTTTCAAAACGGTAACAATACCCTTTTCCTTCTTAAAATGTAACTGTTCCTACTATATACTTGTTTTACCCTTTCCATACTTCCTGTAGACTATTTTCTTTTAGCAAACTTTTAGGTTCGCTCACTGAATTTTGAGCCTTAGGTAAGAATGTTTGCTGCTGATAGTGTATTTCTATTAATGTAGTCTGAAACGATGTAATAAAAATGGGGATTATTGGATAAAGGCAATGAAAACTTACACTTTGAGAGCACAGGTGGATATCTCCAGTGATAATAACTGACAGTATAGGATCTCTGCATTCCCATTCTCTTGTACGTAGATGTCTATATAGCTTTTAAAGAAGCAATATCTTTAATTTACAAGTTTTGAATTAAATCCAGGTGTTTAGTTTAAAATAAAATCAGCCTCTGTGACCTTGTCTATGATACAAATCTTCAGTTTGTCGCATGGAGAATAAATTAAAAATCCAATATTTTGGTGCTGTCAGAAATATTATAATAGAAATGTATACACTGAGATTTTACAAAAGGAATTTCAGGGGAGGTCGCAGAAGGATTTTGCAAGATCAAGCATTGAATTTCAGTTTGCTCCAATTAAGTCATGGTTGCTGATAGTTGATCATAGCTCTTGAAGTCAACATTTATTAGCTAAATATTAGTTTCAATGTGCATAGCACTGAAACTTTTCTCTTTGTGTCCAATTTCTGTATTTTTTTCAAACAATTGTGAATTTTTTTCTAGCTGGATCCAGGCTTTAGTAACAGATCTGCAGTTCAAATGAACAACTTTGTCTTTTATATTTATTGTCTTCCAGAAATCTCTCACTGTGTTAATCTTCAAGCATCCTATTTTTTTAGGAGCTGTTCCCAAACCTCTTTTATAACTGTAATACACAGAGATGAATGAAATGCTGAGTGAAAACTTCTGCTATAGGTTTAGTCAAGAAATCTATCAACTAGATGCATAGAATGCATTCAACATAAGAGGATAGTACTTAACGGTACAGTTTTGATAGCTGAGTCAATAGTAAAACTGTCCACAAAACATAAATACGACAGTGGAATAATTCCATAGCTAAACTTACAGTCAGTCAAGGTTTGGCATAATAACTACATGTATCACTTAAAACACATTAGCGATATAAACAATGAAGACTTGTATTTTGTCAGGCTTGTGATTTCAGTAACTTGGGTTCAACAACACTTCTTAGAAAATGGTCCTGCATGCTTCCCCCGACTTCCAAATCATCCAGTATTCCTTTTCTGGGCAGAAGGCTCTTCAGCTTCTGAGAACGTGTTTGCTACCTCAATTGCTGAAACGTGAGTTTAGCCTTTTGCTGGAAATTCTGCAGAGGATTTTTTTTTTAAAGAAACCCAGTGAAACACAAGCTTTATTAAGCTGCAGTAATCTATTAATTTGTATTCTCCTAGTGTAAGATCCCATGTGCAAAGAGTTCTCATATTGATTGAGAAGT